TGTCTGCTTTCCAGCATCGAAGAGGAGGACGAGGATTCTTTCCCCCCCCCCTGTTGAAACACTTTTCCCGCATTCCCAATCCCCTTTCTGGCCCCCTTTTCCCCAAACATTCATCCCTTCCTCACCTTCTTTCTTTCTAGCCACGGCTGCGTACCTCTCCTATGAGACAACTTCTGTTCCTGCCATGACCGCCGACACCCTGTGTGCTTTTGAGGATAAAACAATAACGCTACGAAAAATTCTGTTGGACGTTGATGAAGAAAGCGATTTTATGAAGGTACGCAGGCGAAGGTCGGTGGAGGGTTAGGAACTTCTTTTCGCAATTGTCACGAATCAGGAGAAATGCGGCACAATATACCCGTGCTTGACGTTTCTCCTCTCCCTTCCTTCCTCCCCCTTGTCAGCAACCTAGCCTCTGTCGTCTCCTGACCGAGCTGGCCGGAGACTGGCCGGCCCTCAAGGCGCTGACCAACACCATTCAGGAAGAGGAGGAGCAGGAGGCGGAGAAGGGAAGGGTAGGTGGCATTTTTATTTCCATACCATAGTGCCACTCCTCCCTTTTTCTTGTTTGACCCATCATTTCCGAACAGAACAAAGTGATTTCGCGTCCTCGCCTAACGCACGCAATCGTTTTCCAACCACTCTGTCATGCTCTCACTCTTTTCTGTCCACCATTTCTTCCAGGCTATCGATACCCTGCAAGGAGGCTACTCCGTTCTCGGCCGGGCGCTCACCTGTGACGCTGATCTCACCTCTCTCGTCACGAATTTACGGGGGAAATTGTACAAGAGATATGGGCAAGACGATTGAGTAAGCTCAAGTAGGAGGAATCATTGTCTTGCAATGTGCGCTTGGACAGGGTGGGTGTGCGTCTTCATCTTTTGCTAGCTGAGATATATGGCCAAGGACACATGTGGTATTTTGAATAGAATTTAAGTAGGAAAGGATAAAAACACTTCCTAAATAAGACTGCAAGCAATAGGGACAAGTATTAAGTGCTTGAGCGTCAAAGAGGGATAGTTCTTTTAAAGACGACACAAAAAGGGGAAAAAAATAACACGGTAAGTCTCATGAAGGGCCCACTCGACACATAATTGAAAAGTAATGACTTGATTATTTTTTAAAAACAAAAAGGAGACTTGAAAAATGATCGGATTAGAATAAAATGAGGCATACTATGATTTTCAAGGTTCTGTTCACGTTGCATTCGTTATGCCTTCCTTGAAAATGGGTACTTGTGGACCCTAAAATTTCATTTTTAGGACGAGCAGGCACGTCAGCTGACGCCTAAACTTCAAGGTCGTATTGTTCGTGATCCGAGTCGTGATCCCAGACAGCTAATTTCGCACGATACGAAGGCATTTTCCTCGATATGGGAAATGACAATGTGTGCAAGGTATTACGTAGCAGTATTAAATCGATGGCCATACCTGGGCTTAGCCTGCCGTGGAACGTCACGCCATTATATTTGCGTCTCATAAAGTTAAGTTATTTTCGTATTCATCACATTGTCTACATCTCTTTGTTTTGCCTTGTGGAAATCAAGGTTGCAACAGGCACTATGGCGCCTCCTTCTCGTTACTTTCCACCGACTGCATCCACATCTACGAGTACCTCTGGGCAGTCTCGGTTTTCTACGTTTGAGCCTCAGGATTTGTGCCGCCCTCAAGGTTCGCTTCACGATGGCCTTCCTCGCTCCACCCGCCGGCAAGTCCAAGCTCCGGATCGTATTCCACAGCCCATCTATCTGGGCATTGAAGTGGAGGTACTAGAGTCTCAGGAGGTGGTGCGGTACGGATTGTGCGCACATGACGGCTCCTACACGCTGGACTACTACGAGGAAACTATCGACGTTAGTCATTGCAATACGACGCCGGAGAAAGTTGAGTTTTTTGAAGCACATATTCTCCAGAAGCTGAAAGAATACCAATCGAGCATGAACGTCAAGGCTCATTTAATTGGCCTGGGCCTGCGAGTCTGTAACACCATGTGTTTTTTGAAACGGGGCTGCGCTACCATGTGTGTGGACTACGGACGTGAACGCGTGTTCAGTGTGTACGGCTCCGACGTACCCTCCTTGTCTTCGCGCGTCTGGCAGGAACTTGACGCCATCCCCTTCGTCATGCGGACACGGGGCCAAACACTGGACGAGCGCGCCAGCACCGCGGTGCGTCAGGCGGTAGTGGCCTTATCCCCGCAATACCCCGGGAACATCCCGAGAGTGGTGGTGGGCTACCGGAACGAGGTAGAGGTCGATTGCAACATGGACATCCATTTGTATGACCTGGAGCATTACCGACAATTTTGCTCGGAAGGTACCTGGCATGCGGTGTTGGCCATGGCCGACGAGCTACGGCGGCGGCAAATCAAGGTTTCTTACTTCAACTCCACCCCTCAAGGGGGGGGAGTGGCTTTGATGCGCCACGCCCTGTTCCGACTGAGCCATTACCTTCGGGTGAACACGCATTGGTTCGTGGCGACGCCGTCTCCGGATGTATTCAACATCACCAAGCGGAAATTCCACAACGTCCTGCAGGGCGTCGCGCCCCCGAATGTCTTTTTGGAAGAGGAAGAGAAGAAGAAGTGGCTGGAGTGGACGCAAATGAATGTGGAACGTCACTGGGACGACCCCGATGGACCCTTGATGACATCGGACGTGATTGTCATTGATGACCCGCAGGTTTGTGGCCTGATCCCGTGGATCCGACGCTTGAATCCAGAGGCGAAGATCGTCTACCGTTCTCACATTGAAGTCCGAGCCGACCTCATCCGCGACAACCCGCAGGGGCCGCAGGCGCAGACCTGGGACTTTCTGTGGTCTGCGATCAAGCAAGCCGACCTCTTTGTTTCCCACCCCGTGAAGAACTTTGTACCCGACGACGTGCCTTTGGAAAACGTGGTGATGATGCCCGCCGCCACAGACCCGTTGGACGGATTGAATAAACCCCTGGACGACTTCAACGTCACCTATTATCAACAGGTTTTCAATCGTATCTGCTACGATCAGGGCTCTCGGCGCGTAGATTGGGACCGTCCCTACATCACCCAAGTCGCGCGCTTCGACCCTTCCAAGGGCATCCCGGACGTCCTCTTAGCCTATCATCGACTTTACTGCAAATTTCTTGACGCGGGGGACAAGAATCGTGTCGAGCCCCGTCGCAGCCATGGACAGGGCACGAAAAAGGCGGAACCTGCCAATGTGGGGGATGGCGGCCAGCAGGAGACTGAGGAGGCGCGTGGGGAGGCTGAGTCGACAGAGGAGGACACCGGGTGGTCTGCGCTACACAGGCAGCTTCGCATGGAGGAAACGACGCTGCCCCAGCTCATTATTTGCGGACACGGCTCCGTGGACGATCCGGACGGGACGTGGGTGTTTGAAGAGGCGCATACGATGCTGAACAAGGAGGACTTCCGGGACCTCTGGCCCCACGTGACCATCGTGCGCATACCCCCTTGCGACCAGATTTTGAATGTGGTTTTACGGGGCGCCGTCTGCGCCTTGCAGCTCAGCCATCGCGAAGGCTTTGAAGTGAAAGTGACGGAAGCCATGGCCAAAGGTGTGCCGGTCGTGGCTTACAAGGCGGGGGGCATTCCTTTCCAGATCCGGGACAAGGAAAACGGTTATCTGGTTCCGGTAGGTGATACAGAGACGGTAGCAGAGCACGTGTATTCCTTGTGTACGGATGCCGAGTTGAGGGAAAAGCTCTCACGGAAGGCCCGGGAAGAGATTGGAGAAGATTTCTTTACGGTCCATAATTGGGCGAATTGGGCCTATATTTGGCTCAAAATTAATAACAAACCTCGTGCCCCGCCCACCCTTGAGGAGGTACTGGAGGTTAAAAAACAAACAGAAAAAGGGGAGAAAGACCAGCAGGTCAAGCGTGATGTTGAGGAGGGGGAGGGAGGGATGGAAGGTAACGGTGGGCGAAGCGACGAGGAGGAGACGCTGGCTGCATTGGGCGAGGTCTGTCTGAATGTGGACGGTAGTCGCAGTCCTTGTGCGCCCCCGTTGCACCGACGGCGCAAGGCAGCTCATGACGTGCTGGGGGGAGGGCGGTGGGTCAAGGACTTGTGGCAGGCCGAATACGTAAAGGGCGAGACGGAAGAGGGGGTGCCACGTTACAAAGAACTACATGCCCGTCACGTCGAGGCGCACGAGGCCAGGACGTGGGACCGCAACACCACCCTTCGACAGGAACAATTCACGCCACCTCCCTTCTTGATCGACCAGCGAAGAGGAAACATCGAGGGCGGTGACGACAGGCTCCCGCGCATCGTGTACACGCCCGGGCCGAACAGCAAGCTCTGGGTCCGAGATGCCGGCGATTTGGAGGAGGCGTGAGAAGAAAGGAATGGCCCATGTACGGAGAGTAAGAGAAAGATAGAGGGATTGGGTTAGGGTTGACCCTAACCCGAAGCCTACCAGAAGTATATAGCTTTGTGATGTCAGAGGGAAAATGCAGATCACACAAAGCGACGAAGACGGCCTCTTGGCGTGTACAGGCTTGAAAAGAGGGATGAAGTAATGGCATGGTAGGGCATTGGAGTTGTATGGCTGGAGGCTTGCATGGCTATCAACGACTTGCCATTCCAAGTGTCGGATATATCTTGGCATGGCATGTGAGGTTGTGGGAAACACTTTTTCTTGGAAACAATGCTTTTTGTGAGTGTGTTACAAATCCCCCAAGGGCCTCTTTTCTTCGCCTCTTTGTCCGTCTCCCCCTTTCCTTCCTTCCTTCCCCGCTGACGCACCTCCCCGCTTATGCATCTGGGAGGATTGCCGTCACGATCCCCACCGCAACCGTCTCCCCCTTTTGTCGGAGGATGAATCGACCCAGCGGCCGCGAATCCTCAAAACGCTCCACACACACGGGCCGAGCGCATTGAAACTCGACCAAGGCCAGCATGTTCCCTGTTAGACACCGAGGGCGCTCCTTCTTGACCTCGGCCGCCCCCCGCCCCTCCTCCGACAGGGGCTTGGCCAGGGTAGCCGTGAGACGCGTCGCATTCACGGGGATCTCCAGACTTTGCACATGCATTTGAAAAGGCGTGCCCCGCAAAATGGGCACGCTCAAGGAGGATAACGTGGTGATCTGGGCGGCGAAACGACACGAAACCGGCACGGCGGCTTTCCCTTTACACAAGACACTCCCAATCGATATCCGGGCTGGATCCACCCCTTGCAACGTGATCTCCGCGTGCTCCAAGGCCCCAGCCACCTCGGCCGGACTACCCTCCACCTCGATGCTTCGCACAACAGCCACGTCCCCAATGGGGAGGATCAGGACTTTGGAGCCGGTTTTGACCCCACCCGAGAGGACTCGAACCGAGACACCCACATTCTTCCCGGCAGGCGCCAGGTCGTTCACGATCATGCGCAGCGGTTTCCCCCGTGCTTCCCGCAAAAATTTGGCGGCGGGCAGGAAGTCGTCCATGGCCGTCAACAAGGACGGGCCCGTGTACCACTCGCGCAGCCCCCCCCCTCCTTCCTTCCCTCCCTCCCGCCCTCCCTCCTTCACGTTCTCCCCCGTCAGCCCACTTACAGGTACGAACCGAATCCGTTCGGACTTGAACCCGGTCTGCTCCAGGAAAGGCGTCAAGCTTGTGACGATATCCTGGTATCGGGCCTGGGACCAGGGCGGGTCCGCCGCGTCGAGTTTGTTCACCGCCACCAGAAGTTGGTTCACCCCCAACGCCCGTGCCAGCAGGGCGTGCTCCTTGGTTTGGCCCTGGCTGAGGCCGTCGCGACCGGTGCCCGCCTCGGCGAAACCGGCTTCAAATTCCCCCGTCGTCGCGGGCACGACCAACAAGGCAACGTCCGCCTGGGCCGCCCCCACGATCATTTGCGGGACAAAGTCGGCGTGTCCGGGGGCGTCTAAGAGGGTGACGACCCGGTGGGGGAGTTCGATGCATTTTTGGCCCACTTCCATCGTCACGCCATGCGCGCGCTCTTCCCCGTCTTCGTCCATCATCCAAGCCAAGTAAAAAGAAGCTTTGCCGAGGGCCCGGGCGTCCCGTTCGAATTTTCGAGCTTCCCGCACCGACACCATCCCGGTGGAGACCAACACCTGGCCCATTAAGGTCGACTTCCCCGCATCCACATGCCCGATCACCACCATCGCGATCCGTGCCTTCTCCCCCTCCTTCTCTCCCCCTCCTTTGGAGGGCAAGACGTCCTCCTCCCACACCTCGGGATCCTTTGACAGCCCGCCCAGAGACGCCCGGGAGGCGATCACGTTCCCCGCGCCTGCCTGCGCTCCCTCGTACCCGTCCTCTCCTTCTCCAAGACCAGGCGAGACGCTCTTGAAGCGAGGAGGGGGGGGGGAGGCCCGCGATAGGTGCACGCTCTGCACGCGGCTGGCCACCTCCTCAACCTCCCCGACGTTGCTGCCGGTGGGTCGGCTCAAATTGCTGCTGCTGTTGTTCCTGCTCTGGTTCCCCAACAACAGATTCCCGCTCGACCGCCGTTGAGGTGTGGGCCGTACCAATTGCCCGGGAGGGAGGGGTGGAGGGAGGGAAGCAGTGCTCTC